GGACTCCCAAAACTATGTTAAATAAAAGTGGTGAGTGGACATGCTTGTCTTATTTCTGATCTTGGAGGGAATGCTTTCAGCTTTTCACCATTGAGGATGATGCTAGTTATATTGTTGTTGTTCAGTTGTTAAGTTGTGTCCAACTCTTTTCAACCTTATGGACTGCAGCATGCCAGGCTTCCCTGTCCTTCACTATCTCCCGAAGTTTGCTCAGATTCATGTCCTTTGAGTCAGTGATGCTAGGTAACCATCTCATCCTCTGCCACCCTGTTCAATTCCCACCCTCAATATTTTCCAGAGTCAGGGTTTTTTCCAATGAGTCAGCTCTTCACATCAGATAGCCACAGCATTGAAGCTTCAGCATCAGTCCTTCCAATAATTATTCAGGGTTGATTTCCTTTAAGATTGACTGGTTTGAAGCCAGCTTTTTCATTCTCCTCTTTCACATTCATCAAGAGGATCTTTAGTTCCTCTTCACCTTCTGCCATTAGGGTGGTGTCATCTGCATATCTGAGGTTGTTGATATTTCTCTCAGCAGTTTTGATTCCAACTTGTGATTCATCCAGCTTGGCATTTCACATGATGTACTCTGCACATAAGTTAAATAAAGAGGGTAACAATATACCGCCTTGTGGTACTCCTTTCCCAATTTTGAACCAGTCAGTTGTTCCATGTCTGGGTCTTTGTTGCTTCTTGACCCACATACAGGTTTCTTAGGAGACAGGTAAGGTGGTCTGGTATTCCTATCACTTTAAGAATTTTCCACAGTTTGTTGTGATTCACACAGTCGAAGGCTACAGGTTTGTCATACACGGCCTTCATTATGTTGAGGTATGTCCCCTCTTGGCCACTTTCTGGAGAGTTTTTATCGTAAATGGGTATTAAATTTTGTCAAAAGATTTTTCTGCTTCCTTTGAGATGATCATATGGTTTTTATTCTTCAATTTGTTAATATGGTGTATCACACTGATTTGTGGATGCTGAAAAATCCTTGCATCCCTGGGATAAATCCCTCTTAATCATGGTGTATAATCATCTTAATGTACTATTGAATTTGGTTTGCTGATATTTTGTTGAGGATTTTTGTGTCTATGTTCATCAATGATACTGGCCTGTAATTGTGTATGTGTCCATGTGCATATTATCTTTGCCTGGTTTTGGTATCAGGGTGATGGTAGACTCATAGAATGAGTTTAAGAGTGTTACTCCCTCTGTAATTTTTTAGAATAGTTTCAGAAATATTAACTCTTCTCTAAATGTTTGATAGACTTCACCTGTGAATCCTTCTGGTCCTGGACTTTCGTTTGTTTGGAATTTTTTTATCACAATTTCAATTTCAGTACTTATGATTGGTCTGTTCATATGTTCTATTTCTTCCTAGTTCAGTTTTGGGAGATTGTACCTTTCTAAGAATTTGTCCACTTCTTCTAGGTTGTTCATTTTATTGGCATATAGTTGTTTGCAGTTGGATTCTTTGTATTTCAGTGGTGTCCATTATAATTTCTTTTTCATTTCTAATTTTCTTTATTTAAGCCCTCTCTCTTTTTTCCTGGTGAGTCTGGCTTAAGATTTATCAATTTTGTTTACCTTTTAAAAGAGCCAACTTTTAGTTCCATTTATCTTTGCTATTATTTTGTCTCTATTTTATTTCTTTCTGCTCTGATCTTTACATTTTTCCTTCTGCTAACTTTAGATTTTGTTTACTCTTCTTTCTCTAATTGCTTTAGGTATTCTTTATTTGAGATTTTTTCCTGTCTCCTCAGGTACAACTGTATTGCTGAAACCCATAGGTTTTGGATTGTCATGTCTTGATCTGTCTATAGGTATTTTTGTTATTTCCATCTTGATTTCTTCAGTGATTCACTGGTTGATTAGCAGCATATTGTTTTGCCTCCATATGTTGTTGTTTTCCTTTTTTTTTTTTTTTTCCTGTGTCCTGGTGTGCACGAGACCATGTCTACACCAAACGTGGAGTCTTGTTTCCTCTAGTCTTACGGAATTCCTGTGATCAAACCCACTGGCCTTCAAAGCCAGATTCTCTGGGGGCTTTTCCTCCCATTGCTAGAGCTGCCAGCTGGTGAGCCTGGTGTGGGGCTCAAGGCTCCTTGGCAGAATTTCTGCAGTGTAATTACTTTCCAGCATGTGGGCTGCCTACCTACCAGGTATGGGCCGTGATTTTATCATGAGTACATGCCTCCTACCATCTTGTTGTATCTTCTTCTTTTTCTTTGGATGTAGGATATCTTTTCTGGCCAGTTCCAGTGATTTTCTTGTCGATAGTTATTCTGCAAGCTAGTTGTGATTTTGATATCTTCATAAAACCAGGTGAGCTCACGTCCTTCTACTCCGCCATCTTATCTCCCTAAAAACTGTTCTTTTAAATATGTGTGTGTGCACACACAATATTCGCAAGCACTGAGTAATTCTGGTAAGAGCCAGTCCTCAATTTTGAGCAAAGAGTTTTTATAAACAACAGCAACCCACTCTCCCACCACCGAAGAAAGAAAAATTCTTCCCTCACTCTTTGAACCTTAAAGAGTGTTTTTATAGGCCAGCTCATTGTTTGTCTTCTCTCTGAAAAATTAGAAAGGATAACTGCTTTGATGGGTTCTACAGAAAAAGACAATTTCCATGATTTCATTTCTTGACAAAGAACAGCTACCTCACTTGGTTTCTGCCACATGTAAGCAAATTCCCAGATGTAAAAATCTCCCCTCAGAGAAAGCAATGTGAGTCCACAAAACTATCTTGAATTCTGCCCCCAGCTTCCCCTGGCCGTGCAAGGTGGCCAAGTGGCAGGGGGAGGCGTGGGACAAGTGGCTTGACCGTGTGCATGCAGCCTGCGCAGTGGCTGTGGCTATCCGGGTGGCTTCTGCTCTGTCACCGCTTGATCTGGCTAGTCTCTCCACAAAAAAAAAAAAAAACAATGCCTGCCTGTCTTTTATAATATTCTGTCTTAAAAGAGAGATATCTCCAGGGAGAGAACAGGACCCTAAAAGTCCAAGGCCTGGAATTCCTCCTTTCTCTCTTTCAATTTTAAACAGGAAACATTCATGCTAAGAGGGTCCAGAGGGAGCATTGATTGTATGTTCGTTTTAAGGCAGATAATGTTTGTGTGTTGCAAATGTCAGTGATTTATCCCAAGGGCTTAAAATGAGTGCAGAAAAACCACATGTTTCACTTCATGCAGAGAAATATCATCAGTAGATTCTGAGAGAAAACACAGGTTAGGGGTTTTTTTTTGTTTGTGGTTTTTTTAAAGTGTTTTGAAAATCTCTAACATGAACCAAAAGGAAGTAGAAATGAGCATGGTGGGAGAGAGGGGGAGCTTAAAATATTGTACAATAAAAGATATAATGACTGCTGGAAGTTTTCTAAATAAAAAAAAAAAAAACAACATTCTAAAGGAAAGAGAAGATGAAATCCCCATCCTTTATTTCACAGGGCTGGGGTGACAGATTACACATTTGTGCTCTATTTGTCATGGGCAATTTAAAACAGAGCAAAGCAAACTGCACTGAATAATAACAGTTGATGCTATAATAACTTGTACACAAACAATTTAATTTTTTTACCTGAAAACTCTAACTAAATTAACCCAGGCTCAAGGATCTCTCTTTCATTATTACACATAGCCAAATTAAGACATAAAAAAGTAGAGAAACATTCTATTGTTCATCCTTTTGAATGTGTTCACGTGCTGCTTTCCACATGGACTCAAGCTTGGAGCTTGTCAAACCATCATTGATTTGGGGAATTTACAGAGCTGTTTTCCCATCAAACTCTGCAGATTACAGGGTGATTGTGACCCTCACTGACAGTGCTTGATTAACCACAGACACCGTATTCTTACAGCCCTGTCATTTCTTTCAAGTGTTCTACCAGGTTGTACTCTGACATTGGAGAGCTTTCCATTAATTGTTATTGTTGCTCTTTTCCTTGAAAAAGAAATAATAAAAAGAGGAATGGTAGAAAGTGGGGAGGATCTGAGCATGATGTTAGGGAATATGTGCACAGAAGGTTTATGAGATTTTAAGAGCTGCAAACAGAACTCATCTGTTTAACCCCAGGCTAGATAAGATGCAGTCATCTGTACATTGTTTAGAGACGTATTGCTTCTGTTATGGCAAATGGATCAGAAGATGCTTGTTGTCTTAGCAGAGAGAGCCAGACAGGGTCGCTTTATGTTAGTGTTTATTCTTGCCCTGGACCTTTCTGTGTGCCTACTCATTACACAGTGCAACTTACAGCTGGTTTGACTTTTCCCAGTCTGCTACCGGCTGGGTAGTGCTTACTGATTTGCAGTAGAATTGCTTCATATCAAAGTTATAGGTGGATAATTCCAGACTCTTAGTTGGGACTTCTTCCAGGAACTGTGGAAAGAGGGCATACTAATCCACACAGATGTGTCACAGAAGCCAACCAGAGTTAGACCAAGACTATATGGCCTGTGTGAAGAATAGCCCACGGACCTAGGAGAGAAGTGAGTTCATTCCCTGGGAAGTTTATGACTCCAGATAACATGTGCATTTCTACCACCATGTCTATGTCAGGACTCAGGGAGGTGGAGAAGGAAGGGGGTGAACCATTACTAGTATTAATAGAGCCAAACTCAGCCTTGTTTAGGGAACTCGCTTGGTTACTATAATAAAGGCCAACATATAAACAAGATAGAAGAAAATTTCTCTGTTAGGCACCTAACTGATATGGTGGCTTCATGGTGTAGAGGAATCAGGCTCTTTTCTTCTTGTTCTGCCTTCCTCAGCATGTGGCTTTCTCCTTATGATCTTTATTATGGCCACTCTTAGCAGCCAACAGAAAGGAGGGAAGAGGAGAGGGTCCCTTTCTTCCTTTTCAGGGTATGCATCATGGCTATTCACATCCCATTGGCCAGATCCAGTCTGTGGCCACGCCAGACTGCAGGGAGGCTGAGGAATGTGGTCATCAGCTGGGCAACCAGCTTAGTGGTCGCTGATACGTGTCTCGTCTTCTCTTTCCAGGGGAGGACCAGCAGATCCTGTGGACTACCTGACGGCCGCATCTCGAGGGCTCTACAAGGAAAGAGAGCTTCCCTATTACCCAGGGGCTCATCCTGTGCATCCACCCAAAGGAAGCTATCCTCGCCCCCCAGACCTGAGAGTCACAGATCTCCGGTATCCCCAGTACTATCCACCCCCACCAGCCCCCCAGCACAAAGGACCTTTCCGACAAGATGTCCCGCCTTCCCCTCCTCAGCACCACAGAGTACCAGCCTACCCAGAAATGGGCAGACCAGGGCCCCGAGGGAGCAGCCCAGATCAGTATCCCTATCGAACCCAGGATCCCAGGCAGAAGAACCCCATGACCGCAGCCGTGTAGCTGACCACCACCAAGCTCAGCCCAGCCTGGGACAGAAGACATCCAGCATCACCTTTGTCCTTCCTACACCTTCCTATTGAGAATTCTCTATGGTACAGATTGGATTTTTCTCACTGAAGCTGCAACACTTGACCACTAATCAGAAAGAATGGAGTAGGAGTTTGGGGAGGGAAATCAGAAGGAAAAGGAAGGATAGGGCCATAAAAACAAAACTGTCTGATATCTGAAATATATTTAGAATTGTTCAGTTCACTGAGAGTGGCAGTTGAACAGGCAAATAGCAGTGGAGATCTACAGCATGGCCACCTCCGTGGAACACAAACATGCATAGCATTGGCGTCATGGAGGGGAGAGGGGCCAGTCTGTCTGGGACATCATCCATTCAGAAGCTAAGCTGCAGCCACCTCCTTAAGTTGTTAAGTCTGTGAAGAATAGCTACAAATATGGGCATCCTAAGAGAGTAGTCTTTGCATTGAGAAAACAAACATGAAGAGTGAGCTCCTTGAAATGTTTTGTACCCAGAGGAAGGCTGCATTTATTTGTAGCATTTCTCAGGTTCTCAGTACCACTCACTTGGTATAAGCATTTCACGTTTCCTCACTTTTTATATAAAAGATGTGAATGCAGTATTAGTTTCCTGGGAGAATTCACAAAGCTAGTCGGAGCTTCCAGAACAAATCTATGCCTGGGATCAAGGCAATCAGATTAAAAGGCTATAATTTCCATGGTCCTCACCTTCCTTTCTCCCACATCCCAGGCAAGATAGCATAGAGATATCTGGCTTCAGACTCATCCCCAAATCTCCTGCTTGTCATTATTGTAACTGGGGCCTTTACTTTAAGACTCCCACTTGAGAGCGGAGATGTACTCAGGAAAGAGAGGACCCACTGGTGAGGTCACACAGGAAGCAGTGCTCTGAAGATGCCAATTCTAGACTCAGTGCCAAATAGCACCAGATGCACCCAGGGTCGGGAAAGGGCTGACGGTGCTCTTTGGGAATGATAACTAGCAAGCAATAGTAGTGTGTGTGTATGTGTGCATGTTTATGAAGGCGTATGATTACCAGTATGGAGAATGGGGGAAAGAAAATACCTTCTGGAAAGTTTGATGAAGAAGAGAATAAAAAGAAAAACAACAAACCAGAAGGGAAGGGAGAAGGAGCATAAAACTAAATCATTCTACATCTGCTCTATTTCATTAACACGAGTCAGAGCAAGACTAAGGCCAAGGTCTCCAGTTGGGGAAAGGTCTTATGGCTTTGCAAAGCTAAAAACCCCACCCTCCAAAATCCCTCACATTTTTTTAGAGCTTTGCACATATATTCTACTTATTTCAACATAGATTAGAACCTCTAAACCCTGACCCAAATGAGAACACAAGACTGTGAAACAGCAAAGAATGGGAGAAGCAACTCAAAGCGCTCAGTGACCCTTGCAGTCCTCTAAGCCTTTTCACACTCCTCCTCCAGTCTCTTCCCCCAAAAATGTCTTGAGCTCAGTTCAGACATTCTGGCTGAGATTAGAATACCTCTGACGGCTAGGATTTAATAAATTATAGTATTGATGTTATTGAATACATAGAGTATCTATCCTGCCCAGTTTAGTATTTTTTTTTTAATTTAAAATATAGTTCTGTTACCAAGAATGATGCAGCTGCTGGGTTTAGACTTAACTAGTGTTATTTACTGAACTTTAAGAGGTATCATTTTCTAAACTACAGTTTACTTACGGCCCTCTTGAGAATAGATTGTCGAGTTGTTTTTGGCCCTCTGTCATCTCTCTTAAGCCAGGCACCTTTAGATTGTTTGCAATTTGTTCTGAGGTTGAGGACTGGGCCCTTCTCACCTCAAGGAGGAGTGTAGGTGAGCCATAGGGTTTCCCTACCAACAAGCTGCAAGCTGTCTTCCCTCGAGCTAAATAAACCTTCAAGAAGACAATGATGAGAGAAGTAGGATGTATTTTGAAGCAATAAAAGCCAGCTCTTCAGAATGTTCCATAGTTTAACCAAATTCCTATAGACTACTGGATATAGCCAAGTCAGAGGTTTCCTTCTGGATTAAGGCCAAGTTCCCCCAGGGGGCAGTGATGGAAGGTGAGACACTCACAGCAGCCCCAGCAGGAAGAATGCCCATCTTTTCACCACGTGGCCACCTTGTGAGCATGGCATCTCCTGCACTAAGGCTCAAGGAGAGCTGCTCCAAGCATGGTTTTGAGTGTGTGTGCTCGGTTGCCCAGTCGTGTCCCACTCTGCCACCCCATGGACTGTAGCCCACCATACTCCTCTGTCCATGGACTTTTCCAGGCAAGAATATTGGAGTGAAGTTGCCATTTCCTCCTCCAGGGCATCTTCCTGACCCAGGGGTGGTCGAACTGGCATCTCCTGCAATGGCAGGTGGGTTCTTTACCACTGAGCCAGGTGGGAGGCCCTTTTGTGTTGTATACACACGCAGTAAAGCAATTGCTAATTCTGAGGGGCAGCCAAGGATGTGAATGTACTATTAAAAGTAACGGGAACAGATTATAGCAGTTTTCTTTTCCTCCTTGAAGTATAACACATGACCTATTTGACCTTACCCAGAAGAAGCCAACATTGTGTATGACAGTCTTCATCAAGTCGAGTAACAGTTAAAACAGCTTGAATGTAAGCTTTATAAATGCCTGTGAACCAACCCAACTGTCACCACCCAGAGGTTATGGAACTCTTTCCCAGTATTTAGAAGAACAGGTTGTTTAGAGTATTGAGAAGACCAGGCTATAATCAGTGGGCTCCTAGTAGGGGGAAATAGTTCCTGATTTATTTTTGGCCTTGGTAAACCTCAGTCAGGTGTCTCCTTGTAGCTCAGAATGCAAACAGCCCCCCAAGAAAAGGTGGCATGGAGAGCTTGGTGAGCTGAAAACCCATCAATGTACACCTGCCTGGCTCCTGATCTGACCACTGGGTCATCCAGAGCTTGGAGTGATGTGTTGACCTCAAGTCACTGCATTTTTAAGGAGCTCTTTTTCTGTCCCTTTTTGCAGGAGTAGAGAGATGTAAGGGAGCAGACCACAGATTACTTTTAGATGCAGGCAAACTCAGTCCTCTACAAGGGAGAGAAGAAACACAACATCTCACTAACCCTTCATGTCACTGGGCTGTGTCAGGATCACTCTTCATATAATATTGCTTCCTCATAATATCACATCACTGGATGAAAGGAAAGTTCAGAGTCAGGAGTATTTTCTCAAATCATGGTTGAGTAACAACAAAAAGTGGGGGGAAATTTACTGTGAAACTCCTTGTTAGGTTTTTAGATCTGTATGTGTTGACTTCACAGTATAGTACAGAGCAAAGATCTTATAATCAAGAGCACCGTCACCCCGAGAAGGAAACTCTATGCACATGAACTGATAGAGAAGATTCGAGGCTTCACTGTAGCTTGATTTTTACCACCAATAACAAAATTAAAACATGGTTCATTATTCCTTCCGAAGATTTATGAACTTCTTGAATGAAATCTATTTTCTGAAGGAAATCCACCTGATAAGTTTTAGAGTTGCTATGCATCGTGCTGATATGTCCCTTCCTTTTCTTTGGAGGAACATCTTAGTATTTCAGGGGGATAGAGAGAGCTGGAGAATTCAGTGTGGACAGCAATGTGTGTCTCTAAAATTCCCATCAGCATTAAACTCTGAAATTTACAATGAACAGCCTTCAAATTGGTGCTAAATTGGGTAGACACCCTGCTGCTTTCTGAGTTCATGAGCAAAATTCAACTCAGTCCAGATTTAGTGCAATTAGGCAGGAGGGTGTTGGGAGTCAGAAACAGCCCACGATGGTATTTCTCTGTACTCACAGTTCACACCGACTTAAGTGGAAATGATGCCACAATGAGACCAGAAAGAGGAGTCTCCGTAAGATATCCCTACAAAGTCACCTTTCTGATAAAAAGGAGAATGAAAGTGAGATATCTAAAATAAGCCTAGAATCTCATATGCAGCGCAGCTTCTGAGGGGAACTCTTTCTCCCTCATGTCCTTACATAGTAATAGAATCTCACACAGCCTGACTTTTAAAGGTGGGTTTCACTACAGCGCAAAGTGGAGAGTGAACTCCCACACAGACTGTCTCCTGACTCAGCTCTTTCAGACAGTGTTATGTTCCATCTCTGCTGACTGCAGTGCTGTTTACTACTGGGAACATAAAAACAAAACCTGCTGTTTTTACAGTCACTTTTTCTAGTGTTTTCCTTTGCTTATATGATACCAAGTCTGTTCATAAGTTCTGAAGATAAATTATGTGAAATAATATTTTGGCACATGATTGAGGGTGGAGAATGAATTCTTTACGGTCTTTTTTGGATGATCCCATTTGTACCACAGAAACATTTTGGATATTGTTATATATGAATATATAAATTTTTCTTGTTTATTTTGCATTAAAATAAAGCTTTATTCAGTCAGTAAGAGAGTCCTGGTTTTCACCCACCACTGACTTGTATTAAGATTTGATGAATGAACGGGTAGGTCTGGCCCTGCCACCCTAGAACAGCAACATCACAGGGCCAAGGACACCGGGAACTAGCGGCGTCATGTGCTGTTGTTTAGTCGATAAGTAGTGTCCGACTCTTTGCAAACCCATGGCTGCTCTGTCCATGGGATTTTCCGGACAAGAAAACTGGAGAGGGTTGCCATTTCCTTCTCCAGGGGATCTTCCCAACCGAGGGATAGAACCCACGTGTCCTGCATTGCAGGTGGATTCTTCACCACTGAGCCACCTGGTTAACCACATGCTGGGCTCCCCCAGAGCAGATGCTGAGGTGGGAATGACCAAGCAGAGTGTTTATTTGGGAGAGCACTTGGATTCAATACCTACAGAAGGCAGAGGAAGAAGACAGGATGGAGCAGAGAGGGAGAAGCTGAGCTGCGTGCCCTTCCAGCTTGGGCTCAGCCAACTCCACGAGGAAATCTGGAGCTTCAGTGGCCCCCATAGAGTTGTCCCAAGTGTGGACACGTGAGAGGGGCA